ACTTGAGAGAAAAAAGATAGACAAACCACAATAAAAAAGATAGAATCATGAGCGCATATTAAAAAGGGAAACATTTTTCATAATTATCTGACCTGGTTGAAACCAAGAATGCACTTTGGGCTAATTCCAACATACCCAACCGGTGCCATCTCGGTCAAGATTCCCACCCGCCAACGATGCTTCAACAAACCCAAGTTAAAAATATAGAATAAAAATCCATCACAACCGATATAAGGATTTAAATCAGTTTGATCACATGATTTATGAAAACAACCATAAAAATCCAATTTTACCTTATTCATTATTGCGATAATTCCTGGATCTGAAGCAAGCTTATGAAGCAACTCTAAAGCCTTCGAAGCAGGAGGATTTAACTGTCATTGCCAAGAAAAGCCAACTAGTTAATATTGACGATTCAAATCCTTAATGGGTAGTTTACAAGTTCAGCACATATTCTGATGCTCGAATAGAAAAAATAATATCAATAAGAACAATGATGGCCACCAAATGGATAAATAGGTGAGGGTAGCACAAAGAACTTTCCACCAACACTTCACAAGCAACAGTGAAACCTTTAGGCTATGATTGGTAGACAAATAAGCTAGCTTATAGCTTGTTTGGTTAGCTTATAAGCTTCTTATATTTAAATAAGCTTCGTTTGGTAGGACGAACTTATTTAAAAAGCCCGAGCTTATCTCATAAGCTTCTTTGGGTAGCTTTTCAAATAAGCTCGTTGAAATTTATATTTTTTACCAAACACTTTTATCATATAAGCTACCTTTTCAGCTAAGTCATAAGCTATAAGCTATCATCTAGCTTATCACCTAGTTTTACCAAACATAGCCTTAGTGCGTAGTGATGCAAAACTTAGAAGATATGACATCTCCAGTGAAGCATATCACCATTGAATCCATGTCCAAATAGTCTATGCAAAACATGCTCGCTGAACCACTAAAAATAAAGAAAAATCTCCTTGCTTCAATTTTTTCCCCTCGATGCTACATAAGCTACATAATTTAGGACATATCCATTTCAGCTATAAGGACCAGTTTCACATCAACTAAAATAAGCCAAATCACCAAAATTTATTCTGGCAGCTCACTATTCGTATAAAGAAATACTCAAATCCCATGAATTCTGAACCTTACCTCTATTCCAGGAAGACTAAGTGTCCGAAAATCACAAAAAATGTAATTTCCTTGAGGAAGTTTCTGCAAGGAATATGACCCATGTCCACTCCTTTGCTTCAATCTCCTTTCTTCTTCATCAAACCCAGCTATCCTTAGGTCCACCTTCGCATTCCGTAAGAGTTCATCAACCTCATCTTCAGGTACTCCCATCATTATAATAGATTTTCCCTGTAAGAAACAAAAATCATAAAACACAGTTTTCATCTCATAACAACTTGTGATTTGAAGAAGCAAAGCAATTCTAGAGAAATGGGGGTGCTTGGTTGAGCAGTTCATGGTAGTCGATAGCTTATTGGCTTCCAATAAGTACTTTCATGCTGCTTGGTAAAAAATTCTATTCCACGGGAAAAAGCAGCCTCAGGGTACAAAAAATTTTGTTACCTTCAGCAACGAAATGGAGTCAAGACGTACAGACGAGTGCTCTTTGGTAAAGGGATGTATCATTTTTGAAGTGATGTCGATGGGAACAAGCAGCCTCAAAGTATCGGCCTTGACGTTCGTGAGTTCTTGCAGCTTTTCACCGAAATCGTTAAAGGTGGCGCTCGGATTCATCTCAAGAGTAATTTTTTGTCCTCTCCACACAACTGCAAAGCTATTCACCTGTTGCTGCTGCTCCATTGCCCAGCTAAATTCACTGGCTCAAAGAACTATATATTAACCAAAGCAGAAAAAGAATATTAACTTTTACAAAACTCGACAACTTGAAATCCACCATACAAAGGTAATGATAATCAATTCAAGACTACAACTTCCAGTCAAAGTTCACAAAAAGCACAGCCCGGAGATGATTATGATTCAACTACTGAGGAAAAAAAAAGTGATAAAACAAGGAGATCGACAAGCAATTTCCCATCTTCGGAAGCTACAAAATCAACTTTTACATCAAAGTATTTAGCAGGCTATCGTACGACGATGAATTCAAGTTAGAACGAAATTTAAACCTTAATCCTTTTAATTAACGATAAATTTGACAAATTAACAAAAACCCAAACCATTTCTGCAAAAATCATTAGAGATTACCTGAATTTCAATAATTTGATTTTTTCTTCTTTCCCAAGATAGCTCTTTTCCAACGGAAGTGAATGTCGTGATATATATATATATATATGAAGTAGAAGCGTATATTAGTATGACCAGTGAGGAAAGGGCTAACATAAGCGTCTGGTCTCCTATGGACTTCATGATTCCATGTCAGCGCTGACGTAGCGATGTGTGGAAAAAAATCTAGAACGTGACAAAATGTCAAATTGCTTTTAATTTGCAATTGAGTATGTTTTTATGGGTGAAAAATGAAAATAATAATTTGTTGACAAAGAAAAATTAATGGAAGAATAAATAATTTTAATAATATAATGTGATGTCAATAAAGTATAATATTTAATTATAATGATATTGTAAAATAATAAATTATGATTACTTCTGTGAATATATAATAGGATACATAGTGAATTTTATAAATACATGCATAGTTATGATTGAATTCTAATGAATATGTGCCTATTGAGCCAATGATTTTATTTTATGCTCCATGTGTTTTCTTTTATGGGTAATTAGTCATTGTCCATGACATGAAAGAGTTAAAATGTCTATGTTGAAGTAATTTTGCACATTGAATTATGTGTTTTGAGTTTTTATTTTTACAGTACTATATTTATATGAGAAGATTTCATATTATCCTGTGGGCAGTACCTCATGGGCATGGACGGAGCTACCTTGGGTCTGGGGTGGGCTTCAGCCCAGGCCTATTATTTCTTTTTAATAACTATTAATTTGAAAAATAAAAAAAATAATGCATTTCTAGTCCAATTCAATAAACTAACTTATTTATCCACCAAAATAATTCACATATCTATTAAGTTCAAATACTACTAACACCACTCCAATAAAATATTATATATTGCTGATCCACCCTTTCTACTATGCACTAACCCACAAACCACAACTATACACCAAACCCTAATCAAATAAATTAGCAATGGCTATGCCCCTCCCCTATATACCAGAACAATGAATTTAGTAGGAAAAGAAAATTCAATAAGAAAGAAGTACTTTCATGAAGACGATTTAATCTCTTGTTTAATAGTAAATTATATTTTTAAACTCCCTATTAGATATTTATTTTATTTACGTAATTGTCTTTATCTATCATCTCATTTAAGTTGAGTTATTTAGAGTTTTAATAATTATTGTTGGGATCTTGATTGCAATTTTTGCTTTGTTGATTGTGTATGAAATAGTAATTGTGTGTGTGTGTGTGTGTGTGTGTGTGTGTTTAATCTCTTATCCTCTATTGTGGTTGTTGTATATCTTGGTTGGATATATATTTATGATGTGTAGGCATTTCATTTTGCTAATAACTATGTCATATGAAAATTCTACTTATTTGTATTGTGGAATTTTTAGAAATTCACGTGGAGCACCAATCTTCGGTCAAGAAAGGAAAAACCCCGTTGATATCATCATTCTTTAGAAAACGAGATCGACGTCAAACTAGTGAAATCACATCAAATACGGTGAAAAATGAGCATATATTGAACATTTTTTGTAGAAACTCGTCGACCACAACTTCAGTGAATATTTGAAAAAATTAAATATTATGTGTGACTTTTGTGAAAATGAGTTTTTAAAATTTTAGCCCAGTCTACTCTTAATTTCTGGATCCGTTCCTGTCCATGGGGTTTTATGTGTAATCTGAAAGCTAAAACTCCTCACGAGTATGTGATCTAATGGAAACTCTTGTGAGTAATACCCACAGGGGGTAGGATCAAACCTACCCATTTACATGATTTTTGAGGTTTAAATAATTAGAAAAATTGAGTTAGAATCAAATGTAGATTGTAACGAGAGAAATTATGGGACACTTTGACAGGAAGAAAAGGGGTAATTCGTATAAGTTAATTACCCAACAATGCTATATATTACACATTTAAAACATGGTGTCAACTGTCAACTAGCGAGACTGCAAGAGAAATATCACATTATGGCTACACAAACAATGTTAAAAGTAACAAACAATGTCAAATTGCAGACAACTGCATGTATACATAACTAATGGAACCCCACTGCCTGCTTTCAACACTGCAACACTGCACAATAAAGATCGAAATCCACATTGTTTATTTCAATTTTATTATGTCTAAGATATGCACGTCTCTAGGGAAGACTTCACGAGCCACACCAGACCAAGATCATTTCTCTGTAACATCAAATAGGCTTTGGCCTTTCGCCTTTCATCCGTAACAATATCCTCACAAAATCCAATAAGTGTAAGAATATCCACAACAGTTGCAAGAAAATTACCACACTATACATTTATCTTTAGTTACCGCGACTTTTAACAACCATCTTATTAGTTCTTGTGTGATATTTAAAATAGTCTGGTTTGGTCGCGTCATTGCCCTCTCTTAGAGAACATTCTAGAAACTCTATTTGGAACCAAGTTATTAACTCTTTATAAATAAGTGATTCTAGTTCACTTTCTAACACAATTTTTTTAATATTCCCAATTACATGATATTTTCAATGATCAGATGTTTGCCTTGAGAGAGAATCCATCCTGGGGGAGGCCCCGAGAGTCACTTTGCAGGTTGAGTCTGTTTATGGTTTGAGATGGGGCGACTGCTCTAAAAAACTCGATGGACCGATATTATTCCTTATACATGACGTATAATTGATTCCAATCAATAACTCTCTATATATAATGCTATGTCAATTAAGAAAGTAAACAAATAATAATTTTGAATGATATGAGATACATATTTAAGTGTTGCCTGCAAATTACACTGAATATCCTTAAATTACAAAGCAAAAATTGCTCCTATTATATTTGTTACTATGATCATCTCATATTTGTCTTGTCAGTAGGACAATTTTGGCTTTGGTAGAAAGTTTTTGCAGCCAACAACCTCCGGGCCCGGCCCACTAGCTGCGGCAACGGTCGGACGGCTTGCATACCCTGCGGTAGGGATTTGCCGGGACTCGATGATGGGTCCGGTGGTGAGCTTTTAGGTCCGAATAAATATTTGAATCTGTAGTAGTGGCTTCAGATGCATTTGATGACAAAGGAAAAGCAGTCACAGCAAATATCAGCAACAAGCACACGGCCCATAACCTAGCCATGGTTTCTTTTGCTTTTGCTCTTTTGTTTCCCAGAATTTTTGCAATTTTGTATTATATATTATATATTAATTTTATTATAATTTTTATTTATTTTTGTTTGTTGNAGGACAATATTTCACAAGTAAGGTGAATTGCGGAATCAGATAAATAATTTATTTTTTAAAATATAATATATATATATATATACTTGTTTTCAAAATCAATATTTTAAGTTGGATTATTTTTTTTGTAGGAAATGAAATATTTTTTGGCAGTGTTACTAAATCAGGTAGCAGCTACTACAGATTAACAAATGAAATTGAAATATTGTTGTCGTAAGTATTATTACCAACTAATTGAGTAGTTATATGTTGTTATAAAGTTAAACCATAGTTTATAGTTTCCCATCATTGGCACAATAACTAGGATTAAGATTATTTTGAAGGGATATGAATTAGTGTGGTCCTATGATTTTTTTTTTTTCCAACGACAAGTAATCAAATAGATAACCAAAATATCCATTTACAATAAGCAACCAACTGATTGCAAATACACAGGAGGTTACAAGCCAACAGCCTTTACAATACAAACCCAAACTCTAAAAACTAACCAACACTACTCACTGCCACTAAAATAAAAAGAAGCAAAAGAAGATAACAAAAAAAATATATCAAAAGCAATGGAGCTACAACATGTATCAAAGGGTGTTCTTTGAGCTAGCTTTTTGCTTACCCTTTGTTCTTCAACTTACAACAGCAATTGATCCAACCAGCTTGTTTGGCCATTACCATCACCCATCTCACTGCCTCCAGCCACTGACCCTCCAAACACCCCTCATACCAAATGCTGTGCTCCATCTTTATATCAGAAACACCTTCCTTCTTGACTACACAGGATATGTTCAGTTGGTTCCTTAAGGAGAGTTGAGCACTGACAGTGATACACCACTGTCCTACTCTTTGGGAAAATTGCTCCTCATGATCCCTCTGAATCTGCCTCCAATTACCTGCATTCCTCCTTAAGCTATCAACACTATCACTAAACTCCAGCCACTCTGCTCTAGCCCAGTCCACCATATGCTTTTCACAAACTTTCTCTTTTCTAAATAGCCAAGTATTCCTAGTTTTCCAGAGCCACCAAAGGATGTAAGAAGATAAAGTTATTCTATCCTTGAGGCTCCCAGTCAAAGGATGACTACAAATTTTCCCCCACCACATTCTAAATGAAGTATTACCTTCAGCAAAGCAGCTATAATCTATTCCACTCAACTTCCAAACCAGTCTAGCCCTAGTACAATTGAACAAGATGTGGTCCAGGTCCTCAGCAGCACTTCCACACTATGAGCAGATACAATCCACTGGCATATTCCTCTTCAGAAGTTGATCCATTGTGCTTATAAACTGGTACCAACATCTCCACAAAAAGTGTTTGATTTTATTTTTAATGGGGAGATGCCAAAGCATAGACCACACCTTATCTGTATCAAAAGAGTGCATACTAGAACTAGTTTCACCAACAGAATTCAAGGACCTGTTCACCAAAAACTCATAAGCAGACTTAACACTGAAACATCCATACTTCCCATTATGCCAAATCAGTTTATCTTTTTTACCAGCACAAGAAATAGGAATTTTCAGAATCAAATCAGCTTCCTCAGGAAAGAATGTTTGTCTGATCAGCTCCCTATCCCACCTAACACTCCCCTCCAGTACTAAATCACTCACCCAGATTAACTTCTGTCTATCCTCAGGAAAACAACAGACAAGCTTGAAATTAACAGCCCTAGGTAACCAAGGATCATCCCAAATAGCAATCCTCTGCCCATCATCAACTAAATATTTGGCTCCTAACTTCAAGAATGGAATCACTCCCACCCAGCTATTCCACAGCCAAGACCCTCCATTTTTATGCTTAGCATCAAACAAACTCTCATTATGAAAATATCTACCCTTCAGCACTTTAGTGATAAGCAAATTAGGCTGAGTAGCCAGTCTCCACAGCTGCTTCAACAAGAGAGCATCATTAAAATTCCTGAGGTTTCTAAAACCCAACCCACCCCTAGATTTAGGCTTAGCCAAAATGTCCCAACAAGCCCAATGAATTTTATCTCCCCCAGCTTCATTCCTACCCCACCAAAAAGAAGCAACCAGCCTACAGATATCCTTACAGAGGCCTACTGGAAGTTTAAAACATGACATCACATAGGTAGGGAGAGATTCAATAATAGATTTGATAAGCACCTCCCTACCTGCCTCACTGAGGAAGTTATTCTTCTAGTTGGCTAATCTGTTCATCACACACTCCACAACATATTTGAAAGTATTTTTCTTAGAAATTCCTACTCCCAGAGGGAGTCCCAGATATTTGGAGGAAGTGACACATTTAATCCCATTCAAAATGTGGCAGATACTAATTTTAATGTTATCAGGGGTGTTTCTGGAGAAAAAAATAGAAGATTTGGCCATGTTAACACTTTGACCTGAAGCAGACCTAAACACTTCCAAAATATTAGCAATAAGACTAGCGTGAAAAAGATTGGCTTTACAAAACAGAATTGTATCATCTGCAAAAAGGAGGTGAGACACAACAGGAGAATGTCTACTAATTTTAATCCCTGAATAATAATGAGAATGGCAGGCCTGCACAATCAAATTAAAAAGAACTTCAGACAAGATGATCAACAGATAGGGAGAGATTGGGTCTCCTTGTCTGATACCTCTAGAAGGTCTAACATACCCCTGAACCTGCCCATTAACACTAAAAGAGAAAGAAGAAGTACTAATACAAGCAAAAATCCAAGATACAAAAGGATCAGCAAAACCCATTCTCTAACACACTTTAATCACAAACCCCACTCCACACAATCATAAGCTTTAGCTATATCTATTTTAACAGCCATGACACAATTAAGCCCTTTTCTTTTGCTGTTAAGGAAATGCAAGCATTCATTGGCAAGAACAACATTATCAAGAATTTGCCTCCCAGGAACAAAAGCAGATTAGGAGGCATTAATACAAGGACTCAAAACAAATTTCAATCTATTGGCTAAAATTTTAGATATGATTTTATAAATAACTGTACATAAAGCAAGAGGTCTAAAATCAGAAACCAGAGAAGGATTGGTATTTTTAGGAATAAGAGACAAAACTGTGTGGTTAATACCTTTAGGCATTTGGCCACTACAGAAAAAGTTACCAACAGCAGCACAAAGATTAGATTTCACAATAGGCCAACAATTTTGAAAGAATAATGTAGTCATACCATCTATTCCAGGTGCCTTAGTGGGTTCCATTTCCTTAATGGCCAAGTAAATTTCTTCTTCAGTCACCATGGCAGCAAGTCTAAGATTCATTTCATGAGTGATTGAGCATGAGATCCCTTGTAAAATCTCCTCAATAGAGACAGGATTAGTAGTAGTAAATCGCTGTTGATAGTAATTTTCCAGTTCCAAGACAATCTCTTTTTCACTACCACACCTCATGCCTCTTCCATTAACCAAGTTATCCAAGCTACTTACTTTTCTGCTTTGTTGGACTGAGGCATGGAAGAACTTAGTGTTCTTATCTTCATCCTTCAACCATTGAACTCTTGACTTAATTTTCCAGTAGACTTCTTCTTCTTGTTAAGCCTTATGCAACATCCCCTTCCATTTTTTCCATTCTGTCCAATCTTTGGTTCCTCCTGCAATTTGCAGATCAAACAACGCTTTCTAACACTGATCAATCATTTTGGCAGAATTAATAACATGAGATTTTTTCCAAGACAATAGAGCCATTCTCACATTTCTAATTCTAGCCTGGATACTGTACAATTCATGACCTGCCACTGGCAAATTCCAGGCCCTATCAACAGTTTCATGAAATCCTTCAGGATTGACCCATCTTGCATACAAAATGAACCTTTTAGGTTTCAACTTCAGAGTACAATCACTCTCCAAGACCAACATACTGTGGTCAGAGGAAATGACAGAAATATGCTTAACTATTGCATTAGGGAACAATGAAATCCAAGTAGAAGAAAAAAAATATTCTATCTAGCTTGGCTTCCACAAAATCAGGGCCCTGTCTTAAGTTAGACCAGGTGAAATGGTGACCTTGAGTTCTAGTCTCACACATCCCCATACTGGTCACAAAATCAATAAAAGGCTGAAAACTACTTTGCTCTCTAATCCTCCCACCCACCTTATCTTGGTGAGACAGAATAGCA